ACCCCCCCCCACCCCCAGCCTGCTCTCCCTGCCAGTACTGCCCTCCCCACTCCAACGCCCCAGTGCACAGACTGCCCTCAGCACTTCCCTGCCTGTACCATCCCCCCCAGCTGCTCCCCCATCCCCAGCCCCCTCCCTGCCAGTACCACCCACCCACCCACAGCCCCTCCCTGCCGGTACCACCACCCCCCAACTGCTCCCCCCTCCCTGCTGATACCACCTCCCACACACACAGCCCCTCCCTGCCCTCCCCAGCCCCTCCATGCTGGTACCACCGCCACCCCTCCCTGGCCCCCTCCCCAGTCCCTCTGTGCCGGTACCACCCCCACCCTCAGCACCTCCCACTGCACACACCACACCAAGTGAACCCCCCCCAGAGCCCCTCCCTACCGGTGCCATCCCCACACCCCAGTGTCCCCCAGCACCACCTCACCTACTCAGCCCCCCACTGCAAACCTGAGTGATCCCCATCTGCCAGGCAGTGCCTGACCCCACCCCTCCAGGCACAATCCAGCCCCTGCAGCACGAAGAGCCAGATGGGCTGTCTCCGCCAGCGTGACAGGGGTCCGTGCCCCGGCAGAGGGGTGGGGGTGTTCAGGGCCCCACAGGCCCCCGAGCGAAGCTCTGCCAGCAGCTGCCAGAAACTGGCCCCCTGTGGCCACCCCCCACGGAGCCGGCCCCGCGCTGACCTTGGCCTCCTGGATGAACTTGGAAATGACGACGGGTTGCTCCTTGGACACGGCCACGGCGCTGCACAGGAACTTCTCCAGGTCGCTGTCGGAGTAGGCCACGTTCATGGCAGCCCCGCTCAGCACGTAGGAGGGGCGCACCACGCACGGGTAGCCCACCTTGCAGCAGAACTGCTTGGCCGACTGCGGGCAGAGAGACAGGCTGGGCAACCTTCCCTGCCCCATGGCATGCACGGGGGAGCTGGGCTGGGCAACCCCACCCCGTGGCACACCCGGGGGTAGCTAAGCTGGGCCGGGGAACCCTCCCCCACCCTGCGGCACGCCCGGAGGGAGCTGGGCAACCCCTCCCCCACCCCACGGCACACATGCGGGGAGCTGGGCCGGGCAACCCCTCCCTGCCCTGGAGGAAGCTGGGCCGGGCAACCCCTCCCCCGCCCCATGGCACGCCCCGGGGGGAGCTGGGCTGGGCCACCCCTCCCCCGCCCTGCGGCACACACGGGGAGGAGGCCCTGCAGCCCCTCCCACAGCACACACGGAGGGGGCAGCATCCCCCCCCCTCACCTCCATGTCGGAGAGCTCCTTCCAGAGGGGCTGGCTGATGCCGATGGTGTCCAGCAGGCGGGAGAACTTGAAGCGGTTCTCGGCCGAGTCGATGGCCTCGGGGGAGGTGCCCAGGATACGGCACTGCTGCCGGTGCAGCGCCATGGCGATGTTGTTGGGCAGTTGCCCCCCCATGGACAGGATGACGCCCTCGGGGCTCTCCAGTTCGTAGATATCCATCACCACCTGCCGGGGCCAGGGGGCAATGCAGCCAGGGGGCAGGGAGCGGGGCAGGCCCCCCCGACAGCACGGGCCCCCAATGGCACAGGCACCCGGCCAGACGGGCCCCCCCCGGCTGCACAGCCCCCCGCCCCCTTACCCCCAGCGGCACGGCAGTCCGGCCAGCAAAGCCAGCTCCCCTCGGCCACCCTGGGCCCCCCTGGCCCCCAGCCCCAGCGCAGGCGCGAGCACCCCGGCACGCACTCCCCAGGCCGGGCTCACCTCGAAGGAGATCTCGTCGAAGTAGAGGCGGTCGCACATGTCGTAGTCCGTGCTCACCGTCTCCGGGTTGTAGTTCACCATGATGGTCTTGAAGCCCATCTGTAAGAGAGGGGAGCCCTGAGCCGGCCAATCCAGCGTGGGGGCACGGGGAGATCCAGGGTGCGAGGAGCCCAGGCCAGCGCGCCCGCCCCGCCCTGCCCGCTGACCTTGCGCAGCTCCCGGATGCAGCCCACGGCGCACCAGTCGAACTCCACGCTGCTGCCGATGCGGTAGACGCCGGAGCCGATCACCATGACGTGGGGCTCGCGGAAGGCCAGGTCGTGCTCCGTCCCGTTGTACGTCAGATACAGGTAGTTGGTCTGCGCCGGCCACTCTGCCGCCACCGTGTCGATCTGCTTCACCACGGGTAGGATCTTCAGGTCGTGCCGCATCTTCCTCACGGCCAGCTCAGTGCTGCAGGGAGGGCAGGGCTGAGAGCAGGGAGAGACAGCCCCCCCCCCGCCCCCCAACACACGGCACAGCCCAGAGACTACGGACCCCAGCACGCACGGCTGCACCTCGCCAGCACATCTGGGACGCTGCAGCAGGAGCCCTGCCCCGCCCCCGCTCACTCCCCTGACTCTCTCCCCTCCAGCCCTGCCCCCCACTCTCTCCCCTCCAGCCCCCCCCCCACTCCCCTGACTCTCTCCCCTCCAGCCCCCCCCGACTCACGCCCCGCCCCACCCCGTCCCCTCCCTCCGTGCCCGGCTGTGTCGCCATCACGCCCCGCCCCGCCCCGCCCCCTCCCTCCGTGCCCGGCTGACTCCCCAGCCCGGCGCCGGGCGTTACCTGAGCACGGCCAAGGCCACCTGCTTGTCGGAGAAGCCCAGCTGCTTGGCTTTCTTAAGCACGTCGGGGGGCATGGAGCTCTGCCCCTCGCGGTAGGACTCCAGCTGCACCGCGTGGTCCGTGATGTTCTTCATCTTGTGCAGGAACCAGCGGTCGATCTTGGTCAGCTCGTAGAGCCGCTCGATGGGGTAGCCGGCTCGCAGGGCGGCCGCTAGCACGAAGATCCGTTTGTCAGTGGGCGTCTCCAGCTCCTGCTGGGAGGGAGAGCTCAGCCAGGATCCGGGAGAGACCCCAGCCCTGAGGGGGGGCCCACCCTGGGTCCCCAGGGCCCTCGGGACAGCACGGGGAGCAGCTCCTGCCCACAGAGTGCATGGGAGCGCTTCGTACCCCGCAGAGCCCCCCGGACCCCCCACTCACCACGTCGGAGGCTGGCTTCACGGTGTGGTCAAAGCCTACGCAGTTCTCATCCACCATGCGCAGCGCCTTCTGGAAGGCCTCCTCGAAGTTCCGGCCGATGGCCATGACCTCCCCTGCAGGAGGAGAGGAGACACGGTGAGCGGCCAGGGCCAGGCCGGAGGAGGCACGCGCCAGCCTCTGCGAGGGGGCAGCCCCCAGCGAGCTGCCCCATGTCAGGAAGGGAGGGAAGCCCCCTATGCACAGCCTGAGTCGGAAAGGCCGGGGGGAGCCGCCCGGGGTCAGGGTGGGGGGTCCCAGGTGCCGCTGGCCAGCTCGGGAAGCGCAGGAGTCCGGATGTGGCGGGGGCTGCTGTGCCACGCACCCACACTCTTCATGGAGCTGCCGATCTTGGTGCTGACCCGCAGGAACTTGCTGAGGTCCCAGCGCGGGATCTTCACCACGCAGTAATCCAGGCTGGGCTCAAAGTTGGCCGTGGTGGAATTGGTGACAGAGTTCCTGGGGGTTAGGGGACAGAGCAGGTTCAGCAGCCAGCCCCCAGGGGCCAGACACCCAAGCGAGGGAACTTACCAGGCCTGGGGCTTTAGGGGGGACACGGTCTGGAAGGGGCAGTGACTCTCTGAGGAGTGTCCCCCACTGCCCGTCTGACCCTCCCAGCACCCCGTGAGGAGAATTGGCCTGAGGAGGCCTGGACCCAGGGCCGGGCCACAGCGGCTCATGGCCTGGCTGCCGCCCAGCTCGCAGGCCAGGTGAGAAGCGCCCATCCCTGCAGGCCAGGAGCCTTCTGGAGTCTGCGCCACACCCTGTCAGGGGACATCACGCCCAGCAGCACTGAGCCCATGGGCCCCACCCCAAAGCCATTACCTGAGGACGGGCAGGGGGATGCCCAGAGCCAGTTTGGCTGCCACGTAGGCCAGCGGGTAGCCGGTCGCCTTGCTGGCCAAGGCGGAGCTCCGTGAGAGCCGGGCGTTTACCTCGATGATGTAATACTGCGGGCGAACAGAAGGGCATGAGATGCTGCTACAGCTGGTCAGGCCCCGGCTCCTCCCGCTGCCCTCCATCTCCGGGGCCAGGCAGGGGCACAGAGCAGGGGCATTGGACAAGAGGGGATCAGGGGGCTATCCCTCCCACTTTTTACGGGCATGGAGCAGTGATGGGAGGAGGGATGGAGAGGAGCAAGCAGAGGGCAGGGCCTCGGGGGAAGGGGTGACCGGGGGGCAGGGCCTCAATCCAGGCACTGATGGCCCCCACTTTTAGGAAGTTTTCGCTGCTCCGGGCACAGAACCGGGCCAGGGATGCTGCGGCGCTCTGCCAGCGCTCGGAGGAACGGCTCGGAGCAGTGCACGGGCAGCAGGCTGGGGCAGGGCAAGGCGGGGCTGACCCAGAGTCCCAGGCCCCATGCAATGCATGCTGGGATCCGCTGGCTGGCTCTCACCTGCTCCGACTCGGGGTTCAGCGCGTACTGGATGTTGCACTCGCCCACGATGCCCAGGTGCCGGACCACCTTGATGGCCGTGTGGCGCAGCATGTTGTACTCCCGGTCGTTCAGCGTCTGGCTGGGGGCCACCACGATGGACTCGCCCGTGTGAATGCCCAGCGGGTCCAGGTTCTCCATGTTACAGACCTGCCGGGGGGGGGAGCGGTTCACCCCACTGCCCCTTGCTGCAGGGAGGCCACCCGCCCAGCCTAGACTGGCGCAGAGACGCGGGGCCCTGGCCCCAGGCTGCTCTTCCTGGGCACTCCCCAACTCCCCCTGCCTGGGTGCCCCCAACCCCCCTGCCCCCCACCCTGGGCACCGCCCATCCCCCTCCCCACGGCAGCTGCCCCTGCCCGGTGCCCCCGCTCCCCTCCTTACGGTGATGCAGTTGTCGTATGCATCCCGCACCACCTCGTACTCGATCTCCTTCCAGCCCTTCAGGGACTTGTCCACAAGCACCTGGGAGGTGTGCGCGAAGGCCTGGCTCACCAGCGTCGTCAGCTCCTCCCGGCTGTTGGCGAAGCCGGAGCCCAGACCGCCGAGGGCGTAGGCCGAGCGCACCAGCACCGGGTAGCCCAGCCTCGAGGCTGCGGCCTGAGCCTGCCAGGACCAGACCAAGGAGTCAGAGGGGCCGACTGGCAGCAGGGCTAGGACTGCACGGTGGGGGAGCAAGGGGCAGCAGAGAACAGAGGCAGCACTGCAGGGGGTTGGGGGAGCAAGGGGCACTGGGGATGAGGCAGTGCTGGGGGGGGAGGGGAGCAGTGAGGGTGGGGGCTGTGCTGCAGGGGGAGCAGGGGGAAGTGCCGTGAGGGGGATGGGGGAGCCGGTGGCAGTATGGGGGGAGGCAGGGGGGCTGAGAGTCTGCTCAGCTGGACTCGCTGGGCAGAGCTCACGGGGTGAGGCAGGAGCCCAGGGGCTCGGAGGCGTTGGGGCACCAGCCCCGAAGGGACAGGGGGACCCCCGGGGGCTGCCTCACTGAGGGACTGTCTGAAAGCTGGAGCACAGCAGGGATCATGGGGATCCCCAACAACCTGCTCCGGGGAGGGGCCCCGCATTGTTCGCCCTCCCTCCCGTACCTGCTCCAAGGAGGAGGCCGCCTCACTAGGCGCCACGTGCTCGTCAATCTCCTCCATCTTCTCCACGAAGACCTTGCGATCCTCCGTCATCTCGATGGAGGCCATGGGCGTGCCCAGCACCCGCACCCGGTACCGGGCCAGCACCCCGCCCTGGGTCAGCGCCACCCCGCAGTTCAGCGCCGTCTGGCCCCCGAAGGTCAGCAGGATGCCGTCCGGCCGCTCATTCTTTATCACCTGGGCGCAAGGGAGGGGCTGGGACTAGGGGCCCGGCCCAGAGCCAGGATCCCCCCACCCCCCGGGGGAGGGGCTGGGACTCGGGGAGCCCTGGACTCCTGGCCACACCCTGCGCCCCACAGGGCAGCTCCCATCAGCCCCAGGCCAGTGCACAGGTCCCCCCATGGCCTCGCCCCGGGCTGGGGCTCACCTGCGTGACGTACTCCGGCGTGAGGGGCAGGAAGTACACCTTGTCGGCCAGCCCCTTGGAGGTCTGCACCGTGGCGATGTTGGGGTTGATCAGCACCGTCTGGATATTCTCCTCCTTCAGCGCCTTGATGGCCTGGCCGGGGGGAGACAGCACCGTGACAGCCCAGTGTCCCTCCCCCCGTATCCCTCCGCCCCTTCACTCCAAACCTCTGCCCCATATCCCTCCGCCACCCTCCGCCCCTTCACTCCAAACCTCTGCCCCATATCCCTCCGCCACCCTCTGCCCCTTCACTCCAAACCTCTGCCCCATATCCCTCCGCCACCCTCTGCCCCTTCACTCCAAACCTCTGCCCCATATCCCTCCGCCACCCTCTGCCCCTTCACGCCAAACCTCTGCCCCTTCGCCCAATCCTCCGCCCCATATCCCTCCCCCCAACCCTCCCCCCATATCCTTTCACCATCCTCTGCCCAACCCTCCGCCCCGTATCCCTCCGCCACCCTCTGCCCCTTCACCCAACCTTCCCCTCATATCCCTCCGCCACCCTCCGCCCCTTTGCCCAACCCTCCATCCCGTATCCCTCTGCCACCCTCCACCCGTTCACGCCAACCCTCTACCCCATATCCCTCCACCATCCTCTGCCCCGTATCCCTCCGCCACCCTCTGCCCCTTCACGCCAACCCTCTGCCCCTTCACGCCAACCCTCTGCCTCTTCGCCCAACCCTCCCCCCATATCCCTTCACCATCCTCTGCCCAACCCTCCGCCCCGTATCCCTCCGCCACCCTCTGTCCCTTCGCCCAACCTTCCCCTCATATCCCTCCACCACCCTCTGCCCCTTCGCCCAACCCTCTGCCCCGTATCCCTCCGCCACCCTCCGCCCAACCTTCCCCTCATATCCCTCCGCCCAACCCTCCGCCCCGTATCCCTCCACCACCCTCCACCCAACCTTCCCCTCATATCCCTCCGCCACCCTCCGCCCCGTATCCCTTCACCCTCCTCTGCCCAACCCTCCGTCCCGTATCCCTCCGCCACCCTCTGCCCAACCTTCCCCTCATATTCCTCCACCGCCCTCTGCCCCTTCATCCAACCTTCCCCTCATATCCCTCCGCCACCCTCCGCCCCTTCATCCAACCTTCCCCTCATATCCCTCCGCCACCCTCCGCCCCTTCGCCCAACCCTCTGCCCATATCCCTCCGCCTCCCTCTGCCCCTTCGCACCAGCCCTCCTGTCCCCATACTCCTCCACCACCCTCTGCCCCTTCGCACCTATCCCCTCTCCCCCCTTTGCACTAACCCCATGACACACTGTACCTCAAAATAACCCCCTCTAACCCCCATCTTCACCACTTGTATATAGTTATGTGTTGTACAAAGTCTGCTTTGTGAGGTGTCATTTGAGAAATCCTGCTCTGTTGAGCGTCATTGCCCTGCTAATACGTGGGTATCATCTATGAAGGGGTGACAATCTGCTCTGTCACTGACCTGGGTGGTGAGTCTGGGGCAGGGACACTGACTAGCGCCTCACATACAACAAAGGGACTGAGCTGTTCAGAGAGTCACCAGCAGGGGAGTTGTAAACAAGAAATTGACAGTTCCCCTGAAGGACCCTTGGCAGCTCCCACAGGCCACGGGACGGCCTGGCCCTATGACCCAGCAGAGACTTTTCCAGGACAAAGGGTCGGAGAATAAACAGGGGGAAATCGACCTCGGCCCAGGCCGCGTGACCCCCTGAAAGGCAAAGAACGAACGCTGAACTGGGGGGAGGGGTCCCGGGCCCGTGAAACGTATCGCAGCTGGTTCTGCTCTTCCAATGACCAGCCTTGCCAAAGTGTAAGAATTAGATGGCAGATCCCGGTTATTTCTGTGTAACTACTTCTGCCTTCTCGGGCCACAGTGCTTGTAATCACTGCCCCGTGTCGGGCTCTCATCCATACGCTTGGTTCAGCGTGTGAGCAGGGGACTAGCCAGCGCCCTTTGGCGGAGCGAGAGCCGGGGGAGGCGCACATTTCTGGGGTGCAAGGCTGGGGGTTCATGTGAGTCTCCCTGGAAACAGGTCGCAAGTGGCACTTCGCTGGGGAGTCTATCCATGCAGACGGCTCGAGAGCAGAGCCTGGAGGGGCTGCTGGTGGCTAGCAGAGCCGTGCTGTAGCCAGCCTGGGCTAGGGGGTTAAGGGGACACAGCAGTTCCACAGTCTAGCTCGTACCTGGGGGGTGTCACCGCCCCCACACCCCCTTTGCACTAACCCCTCTACTCTCATACCCCTCTGCAGCTCCTGTCCCTCCCCACCTCTCAGCGCCCGGGGCCCAAGCGAGGCCGAGGTCCAGGGGCTGGGAGCACCCAGAGGACTCACCTGCGAGCCGGAGTAGTCGAACTCCCCGGCCTGCCCTATGGAGAGGCCCCCCGAGCCCAGGATAAGCACCTTGCGAGGCCGGGCTACGTCCCCGTCCGCCGGGGGCTCCTTGTAGGCCAGCCCCTCCCGCAGCCTCTCACGCACTGGGGAGAAAAGCCAGGCCCGGCCGCCATTAGCCTGGCCACTGGATCGGGAACATCCTCAGCACGGTCAAGGCTCAGGCCACGCTCCCGCTGCGGACACCCAGCTGGGGCAGCACCCGGCCTCGCGCCCGGCTCTCCTCCCTGCTGGCATCACCACAGCCCCTGGTGGTGCCACCCAGGGGGGCAGACGCACCGCAGCCTGAGACTGGTGCTCCTGACGAGGCGGAGAGGCCAGGAACCTCCATGGAGCAGAGTCTGGCTCCCCAGGGCAAGCAGCCCAGGGGGGCGTCCGGTGCCTTTGCCACGGCATCACGAAGGGCTCAGAGAGACGTTCCCTAGAGGTGCCCACATGACCCCAGTCACATCCAGGGGCCCCTCAGCTGGAGTCTGCCCTTGCCTCAGAGGATGGCATGGCACAGCAGCACCCATGGGGGCAGGGCCCTCCCCCGGCTGCTCAGACATGAACCACCAGAGACCGGCTGAGTCTCCTCCCAGGGCACTGCCCGTGGGCCAGCACCCAGCTCAGCGTGCCGAGGGCACTGACCGGCCACAGCCGCCTCCGGGGCCAGGCCAAGCTCCCACCTGTTCTGCAGTTCTGGCTGCCGGCGCTCAGGTCCCGCACAGTCTCCAGGAAGATGTCAAAGAGGCCCACAAGGTCTGTGGGGCCGGCCCGGTGCTCTGGGTGAAATTGAACGCTGCAAGGGAGTAGGAGAGCCAGCCCGGGTCAGACACGCCCCGCCACGCCCCCTCCCGCCGCCCCACCAGCTCGTGTCAGACGCGCACGGCCCCCCCAGCCCGTACCGGACACGCAGCGCTTCCCCACCCAACCCCCGCCAGCCCGGGTCAGACACACGCCACTCACCGCTCCCCCCTCCCGCCCGGGTCAGACATCGCCCCGCTGCCGCCCCCTCCCCCCCAGCCACCCCAGTCAGACACCCACCCCCCCCTCACCCATGCCAGACAGGCACCGCCCCACCCTTGCTAAGACTCTGCCAGGCAGCACCAGACTCAGGGCACCCTAAGCCCTGCCACAACCAGCCCCCTCTGCTCCCTGACATCGCTGGGGGCCATCCAGGCACAGCTGAGCCCGACGCCTTCCCCTGGGGCACCCAGGACCCTCCCCCGCGCTCCCACCTGAAGAAGGGCTGGGTGTGGTGCACCAGGCCCTCGTTGGAGTGGTCATTGGCGTTGGTAAAGAGCACGGCCCAGCCCGGGGGCAGGCTGCCCGGCTCCACCGCGAAGCCGTGGTTCTGCGAGGTGATGAAGCAGCGCTGGGAGGCCTCGTGGATGCAGGGCTGGTTGTGGCCTCGGTTCCCGTACCTGGGGGCAGGAGGGGAGGGGTCAGCGAGGGCCCAGGCCCCACCAGGAGCTGCAGAGACGCGGCCCCAGCCCTGGGGAGCTTGCGACTAGCTAGTGACAGCCCCCTGCCCTGGGGAATGGGCAGCTCACCGGAGGCTCCGCCCAGGGAGTGGGGGGCCCGATGGAGCAGGCTCAGGGGAGACGGGAGCAGCGAGCAACAGGCCTCCCCCCGCCCTCTGCCGAGTGACCCCACGGGCTGGGCGCAGCGTCCGGGGAGACAGGAGAGGGCACTCCACCCCAGAGCCTGGTGCTGCGCTGGCTCTCCCCCGGCTGTGTGATTTGATCAGGATGCTCTATTCCTACATCCAGGGCATTGATAGAGCTGTGACACCAAACCGGCCCCAGAACAGACCCCGTGGAACCCCACACGAGACCCCCCTGCCATCCCACACTGTTCCGTTCGCAGGGACTCACTTCGTGGGCCTTCGACCAGCTCTGAACATAAGAGTGGCCCTACTGGGTCAGACCAAAAGTCCATCTAGCCCAGTATCCTGCCGGCCGACAGTGGCCAGTGCCAGGTGCCCCAGAGGGAGTGAACCCAACAGGCAATGATCAAGTGATCTCTCTCCTGCCATCCATCTCCACCCCCTGACAAACAGAGGCTAGGGACACCATTCCTTACCCATCCTGGCTAATAGCCATTCATGGACTTAACCTCCATGAATTTATCCAGTTCTCTTTTAAACCCTGTTATAGTCCTAGCCTTCACAACCTCCTCAGGCAAGGAGTTCCACAAATTGACTGTGCGCTGTGTGAAGAAGAACTTCCTTTTATTTGTTTTAAACCTGCTGCTTATTAATTTCATTCGGTGACCCCTAGTTCTTATATTATGGGAATAAGTAAATAACTTTTCCTTATCCACTTTCTCCACATCACTCATGATTTTATAGACCTCTATCATATCCCCCCTTAGTCTCCTCTTTTCCAAGCTGAAGAGTCCTAGCCTCTTTAATCTCTCCTCATATGGGACCCGTTCCAAACCCCTCATCATTTTAGTTGCCCTTCTCTGAACCTTTTCTAGTGCCAGTATATCTTTTTTGAGATGAGGAGACCACATCTATACGCAGTATTCGAGATGTGGGCGTACCATCGATTTATATAAGGGCAATAATATATTCTCCGTCTTATTCTCTATCCCCTTTTTAATGATTCCTAACATCCTGTTTGCTTTTTTGACCGCCTCTGCACACTGCGTGGACATCTTCAGAGAACTATCCACGAGGACTCCAAGATCTTTTTTCCTGACTTGTTGTAGCTGAATTAGCCCCCATCATATTGTATGTATAGTTGGGGTTATTTTTCCCAATGTGCATTACTTTACATTTATCCACATTAAATTTCATTTGCCATTTTGTTGCCCAATCACTTAGTTTTGTGAGATCTTTTTGAAGTTCTTCACAGTCTGCTTTGGACTTAACATATTGGAAGAGAAGGTTCGAGGGCTGGAGAAACGAGTATCGACTCTGAGTTGCATAAGGGAAAATG